CCAGATTGGAATCTAAGGTTAACCCCTAAGACCGCTTTTCTACTGGGTCCTCTACTTTTACCCCTCGGCTCAATCTTTTTAACATCGACTCGGTCCAACTTCCATCTAGACAAACTTTCAGGTCAGTCGCCGGCCGATTACGGCCCTTTTTCCATTTCCAGTTTATCATAAATCGAGATATTGGCGATAAATGCAATAAATCGACAATCCCTTTATTTGATAAAACCGTGAATAACAAAAGAAATTTATAAAAACGTATTGAAATTTTCCCATAGCTCAGAAACAAGAAACGCTACACAATTTTGTCGTAAGTAAGTAAAATCCCATAAACATTTGTAAAAAATGATTATTCGGAGATCGTAAGATGCGGTCAGTGTGACGTAGGTTTTAGAAAAATATTTTCTTTATCGTGACAACGTGTCGAACTTTATTGAGATCATCTTCAGGACCTGGGAAATATAAATATTGTTTACATTTTACAAATACATGTAGGATGTGTAAAAAAATATGAATTTATACAATGCTAGAAAATGTTATATTAAACAAAATGAATTTATACAATGCTAGACAATTTTAAATTTAAAAAAGAATGAATTTATACAATGCTAGAAAATTTTAGATAAAAAAATGAATTTATACATTGCTAGAAAATTTTAGATTAAAAAAAAACGAATTTATACAATGCTAAAAAATTTTAGATTTAAAAAACGAATGAGTTTATATAATTCTAAAAAAATTTAGATTTAAAAAAAATAATGAATTTATACAATGCTAGAAAATTTTAGATTAAAACAATTGAATTCATACAATGCTAGAAAATTTTAGACTTAAAAAAAGGAATAAATTTATACAATACTAAAAAATTTTGATTTAAAATAATGAATTTATACAATGCTAGAATTTTTTTAGATTCAGTCAAAGTACGCAAGTGAGTACAAATACTACTTCGATAGAAGCTAAAAAATTTCATTCAATACAGTTAAAACAATTCTTTGTATAAATTCATTTTTTTTAATCTAAAATTTTCTAGCAGTGTACAAATTCATAATTTTTTTCCACATCTTACGTGTATTTGTAAAATTCAAACAATGTTTATAAATCCCAGCCTCTGAAGATGATCTCAATAAAAATCGAAACGTGGGCACGATAAAGAAAAAATTTTTCTAAGACCTATGTCACACCAGACAGCATCTCACGATCTCCGAATAATCATTTTATTTTAAATAAATTTGACACATTGAAAAAAGAAACAATAAACAATACAAAAGGTGTGAGAGTGCTGGACACAGAGAGGTACTGATTTAGTGATAAATTAAAAAAAAGACGTGTTAAGTTTGATTTGAGAAGTAACCAGTGTCTCATATGTACGATACGAGCCATGAAATCCTTGTTCCAGATTTGCCAAATTACCATAGGTTTCGAAATCAACATTTATAAGGTCACTAAAAAAATTGATGAAAAATGAGTCGAAAGAGTAAACAAGAAGTAAAACAAGGATAAAATGATGACTTATTTCGGGCAATGCTTCAAAATCAGGATACCAGCGAAAAATTAAGCAAGTAATTCAGAGGGCAGTGAGGCAGTGAGCTACATAAGAAATACAACTTTTTGAAATTCCTTAGATAATTTGGGATGTAATTAGGTCAAAATCGTAACATTTGTGGTATGCTAAGCGTGGCAGGAATATTTGAATTTTAGATTAAAAGAAAAAAAAAGAGTTTATACAATGCTAGAAAATTTTAGATTAAAAAAGACAGAATTTATAAATTTATACAATGCAAGAAAATTTTAGATTAATATAAAATTTTCTAGCATTGTGTAAATTCATTTTTTTTAATCTCAAATGTTTTAGCAATGTATAAACTCTTATTTTATCTCAAATTTTTTAGCATTGTATAAATTTTTTTTTCTCACATGTATTTGTAAAATTTAATGTTTATATACCCCAGGCCCTGAAGATGATCTCAACAGACATCAAAACGTTGGCACGATAAAGAAATGTTTTTCTGAAACCTACGTCACACCAGACCGCATCTAACAATCTCCGAATAATCATTGACGAACGGTCACTGAACACCACACAATTGTAAAAAATTTCATCTTGAATAAAGGATCTTCGGTGAGGTCACAACAGAACGAAAATTCTTTAAGTTTTCGCCGAGCTTTCGAGTATATCGTAATCGTCAGGTTTATATTGTAGGAAAATATAGCAGTTAGAACATACTGAATAATTTATAAACAAAAGGGCACAGGACGATTTCAACACATGCCCTGCAAGTAATAGCCAACGCACCGCCAATAGACCTAGTCCTTAAAGAAAGGGTGGTCATCCACCAAAAAAAGAAAAATGAGGCTATTGATGTAGGAGCAAGCCAAGGAGAAATAGACTGGTTCCAAAGCACAACGGTGAAGGAGGCAAAAGAGTACTTGGGAAAAATGACAAGGGCATCATGGCAAGAAAGATGGACAAATAGCAATAAAGGTCGGCTAACATCCAAATTTTTCCCAAGCGTTGAAAAAAGACAAAAAGCCAAATGGCTACACCCCGACTACTGGACCACTCAAATACTATCAGGACATGGAAACTTCGCAAGCTATCTTCATAAATATAAGAAAAGAGAAAGCACTGAAGAAGACGCCGAACATAAACTCGTCAGCTGTATCAAATTCAAGGCAGAAAGAGAACGTTTGCGAAAGACCATCACCTCAGCAGAATGGCCGCCTAATTTCCAAAAGCTAGTCTGTGATATCAAATCTTTTGGAGCACTAAAAGACTTTGCCTCAAATACGCTTAATTGAATAAGTCCCTATTTATTCTAATTATTAAGTCCTAAATATTGTTATTATTGTTAGAGTTTTATTACCGTTATTTATTTATTGCATAATTAAACATAGGTTTAGGTTTAGGGTTCCGGGCTGTTTGCCTCTTAGTAAGAAAATTTTAGATAATATAAATAGATAGAAAATAAAACCAAGGAAAAGTAAATGTGCAAGGGAAGACCTTTTGTTTTTAGGTTCTAAAATGAAAATATGGTCCCTTCAAAAACCGACCAGCGGTCTCGCCTGAAGGAAAGATCGTTGGGAGGTATTTTTATCCCATTTATTTGAAATCCCTTAGATATACAAATTCGTTTAAGCTAAAGCGTTTGTCCGCCGGTATGAGGTCTTCCTCAGGTACGGCGGGGTGGTGGAAAGGGTTAAAAAAAAATTTAAAAACAAAATTTAAAAAAAATTATATTTTTCTTACTTTAACTTCATGAGTGTTGAAATATATCTTGAGAAAAAACTGAATTACTAATAAGATTATTTACAATTAGGTGAAGCTCGCTATCTAAATATTAACATGATGAAGTAGGGAACTAATTAAAAACAATAAAAACAACATAATATAAAATTTAAAAAAAAACAACGTGGTCGTATAGCTTACCTCGGTTAAAATATACATATAAGTACATGCCCCTTTTTAAAACTTATTTCAGGTACATTTGGATGTCACAGTTAAGATTAATTAAGCTTTTTTTTTATAAAATGTTCTATATAAAGTGCTAACATCTACCACACCATATAATCGTCGAAAGCTTGGCAAAAACATAAAAAATTGTCGTTCTCTTTGGGGTGTCGGTGGCCGCAACGATTTAGGCGTTGACTCGGCACTTATCACTGTAAGGTAAAGGTCCTGGGTTCGAATCCAGCGGCTCTGAATTCGAACCGGACATACTTATTGGCATACAATTGCTTATGGGCTTTTTTTCCAAAAACGCCGGCATCCTGAGGGTTGAATGACATCTGCTGTTGCGTACCCTCGTAAAAAAAATTTGTCGTTGACCTTACCGAAGACTCTTTTTCCAAGCTGTTCAACAGTAGGTCGATCCATCATCTCATCTTTAAAAAATATCATATTTGTAGAAGATTTTTTTAAAAATGAAAACTGAAAATCGTTAAAATTAGCCTATTTTAGTCAAACCTTTTGTCCATCAAAAACACAGCATGACTATAAATACAAATTTACAAAATCTGACCATGTTTTAATTTTGTCAAATTTTGATTAAAAACGAGAATCATTCAGACATTTTAAAAGGCTATTCCTTAAACTGTATTTCACTGCAAATCAATCAATATTTGTGAGGAGAAAAAATTTAAAAATAAAACAAAATCGTCATGAATTGTAGAGCTGATTCTTCTGATTTTAAATATATAGCCTCGTAGACGGTTAAATTTTGATATTTTCCTGAGATCTGAGAAATCAATAAACATATAATTATTATCCTTATAATCTCATTCTCGCAGCCTTTTTCCGTTAAAAGCGTGTCCTCATTTTGGCATAGTTAGCTTCACTTTTGATTATAGGTCTTTTGTAGCTTTTCACTAAGATTCTAGTTTTGTTTAACAAAACAAAAGACGACTTATAAGTAAGCAGTTTGGTTAAAGCAAGTCAGACACTTTTGTTTCTAATGTAAATAAGCCAGTAGTTTATCAGAGTGAATTAGTTTAGTAGATAGATTATGTTAGATTTGCTGGTACTGGTAGTGAACTAAAAAATAAGTTTAGATAATTTTTAAAGAGTGAATCAACATGACAAACAGTATTATTCAGCTCGCGAGACTTTGTCAATTCTGTTATTATTTATAACTTATTATTAAGTTATAATAGTCAACCATCCTGGACATAAAGCAAAAATTACGGGTTATAAATTAATATATATAATGACAATTAATTAAGGTTTTTAGTTGAGATGAAAAAAAGTAAATGGCACGAGAGGGATTCGAACCCACAACCTTCGGCTTGATACGCCGCTGCTCTACCATCTGAGCTCACGAGGTCCCGATAGCTCAGGAGGTAGAGCAGCGGCGTATCAAGCCGAAGGTCGTGGGTTCGAATCCCTCTCGTGCCATTTACTTTTTTTCATCTCAACTAAAAACCTTAATTAATTGTCGTGTATTAATTGGTCAAGCGGACCACGAAAGTAGTGAATTAATATATATAATGTTTTTTGTTTACAGGCACAACGACCTTCCGTGGAATATAAGGAAATTCGTGCACAACCAGCTTGGAAAGTTCAACTTTTCCGAGGACCTCCGAGACGTCGAGCCGTGGTCCAGGAGCAATTGGTCTCACACGGACTTACCAAGACTGAAAGCAGGCCAAGTCGGAGCCCAGGTAAATTGTCAATACTGTTATTAACGTCCAGAAAAAAAAAGAACGAATGAAAAAAATATAGGACCGAGCGATGTCGAACTAGAATGCGCATTGTGAAGTTGTCAGTCAAAGTAATTCCCAACTTAGTTTCCTCCCCTTTTAACCCACCTTCTCACGTCCCCGCGAAAGCTTATTTGGAATTTCACTCGGCTGCTTCCCTCTTTTTTCCTCCCAGTTCTGGTCCGCGTACGTGCCGTGCGGAGCTCAACAGAAAGACGCCGTGCAGATCGCCATGGAGCAGATCGACGTCATCAAAAGACTCACGCAGATCTACAGCCAGGATCTACAGTTCGTGACGACGGTGGCCGGTGAGGTTATAGTTACTGTTATTATAAATATTTTAACATTTTATTTTTCTATAATAATAATTTTAAAATTAAATTATTTGTATTGTACGTTATTGATCATGTACTGCAGCATGAAATATTATTTTAAAAAAAAGCGCTGTGAAAAAAGTTTATTTTATATAGGATAAAAGGTTACACATTGTTAGGAATCCACTGGATAGTCAACTGTAAATTAATACTGAAGAGGACTCATGTCATGAGGTGGAAAATGCTGCAGTTATGTTCACTTACTAACAACACAAATAATAAAATTTTATTTTTCCATACTTTTTATATGTTTATATGCATTTTATCTGACTCTTACCATCAACAAAGAGATGAGGAAAGTATTACCATGTGTACTTGGAAAAGAAATTAAAAAAATTGGAAGGATGTTAAGATTGAGATTAGCCTTACCACGACCAACCTCTAATAAATATAGAATCAAGGACAGCCTATATTCAAAAATTTTTAAAAACGTTTATAAAGCAAAAACCCTGATATTATTATTAATATTCTATTTCAATATGGCTGCTTCACTATTTTTTCTATAATGTAATTAAGAGTAGTGTATTTTTCGAAGCACCATAGAACAATAATACAATACTGCTTAACAAAACCCTGGTACAGTTTTATTAATTTTATAATTAATACTAATTTCTGTTTTGATTTTAATTTTGCAATGTAAAAGTTTTCATAAATTAAGTGCGTCAAGCAAAATATAATTCTGGACTTTAATAAATAAAGCTAAAAAAATTCCCTGGTGAGAAATGGCACAACACTTTCTTATTATACAATTTTATTTTATTTTTGCTTTTAAAAGAGTTATGGTGAGTTAAATGAATAAAGTAATTAAGCGGCAACTAATTAGGTAAACTAATTAATTTTAAGTAATAACTTAATAATAATTAATTAAGTAAAGTGGTTCGATTTTTCTAAAATGAAAATAATTGATCACGGCGTACAACAATTCGGTCACGCAAAACCAACCTGTATTGCGGAACTGTATCGCTAAGAATATGCACTGCATTTCAACAAATATTGATCACAATGCCAGTGTGTGTTTCTTAACACAAAACAATATACAAATAAAAAATATTAATAAATATGATAAGTAAAATCGATAAAGTAAAAAAGAAAAGACCTTTAAGTTTACCACCAAATTACAGGTCCTTCCTCCCACAGACCACACATTAAAAATCGTATATAATTAATGTGGTTTAAGTTCGCGTTGGGAGTCAGACAAATATAAACAAAACGGACACGTGCGGCCAGATCTATAGTTTAATTACATCATAAAAGTTATTAATAATATTGATTCTTTAGGAATGAAAAATCTGTTCCTAGAAGAAGATAGTAGTACGAATGTGTGAGGATGAGCCTTTCTCAGCTTTTTTCTTTGGAGCAGATCAATTCTAAAATGTACATCAAACTCATCAGCTTTGGTAACAGAATACTAACATACCATATCATCAAGAGAAAAAAAATCCAAGGGCTCGGCCTCATTGACCATTTTTGAGCATCCCTAATGGATCGCTCCTCAAAATGAGTTTCCGTTCAACGGACAATTTGAATACATTAAAAATATAGGCATGGGTAAATGACAATTACTTGACAGTATATTTATACAAGTAATGCATTGTTTTGCCAACGCGTCAAAAAATATATCACCCAGTCGATTTTGTTGGAATATTAATTATTTATAAACACAGGATTTATTTTTGGAAAACAATGAGATGTGAAAGTGTGACTCTAATAAACAAACAGGATTTATATTTTTAAAACAAAATATTAGTTAAAACGTATATGTACTTTTCTTTTACTTTGTTGATTTTCTTAACCATTTTTTTTCTTAAATTGCATAAATGTTTCTCATGATTACAAACATACATGACATGGTGATAAACATTTTTTTTATTTCCATTTTTATAGAAATGTTTTAATACAATTGCAGTGTTGCAACGTTTTTTAACCACAAACGGCGCTTAATGATACAGTTCCGCAAGGCAGGTTTGTTTTGCGTGACTGTATCGTCGAGGGCCGTATTTTAAAACCGCTTTTATCTTACAAACCATTTGTTTTTTATTAGTTAAATATTGTAATTCCACATAACACCTCTAAAATGAGGTTCGAGGATACAGAAAACAATCTTAAATTTAATGGCTAATTGACACTTCCAAAACTTATCTCTGGCGGCTATAACGTAAGCTTTCAATTACTTCTGATAATATAATAATTTTTCAATATTATAATATTTAAATCACCTAGCAAATTCATATTTAAAAAATTGGGAAAAATTTGGCTGAGTTTTATCAAGCAATAATTAAAGTTATTACGTAATTATAATTTTCATTGACATTTTTTATAGGATTCAGATCTGAACTTATTTTTTTGCCCATTGGTTATCATTTTTATTTCTAGAAAAATACAAAATAGTCAAGGGAACATTTATTGAACTGCAAATCTTCCGGATCTTTTCAAATCTGCATAATTGTGTCAGGAATATTCAATGAGATGTGTATTATAATAAACAAACAGGATTTATATTTTGAAAAGAAAATATTATTCAGAACGTATAAATACTTTTATATCAATTTGTTGATTTGTTTACCATTTTATTCTTAAATTGCATAAATGTTTCTCATGTTTACAAATGCACTGGTATTAAACATAAATATTATAAATAACATATATGTGTTGTATGTATTATAACATAACATCACATAAACGTGTTTTCCCCTTTTTATAGAAACGTTTTAACAAAATTGCACCGTTTTGATGTTTGTTGGTTAAATACAGCGCTCAATGATACAGTTTCGCAAAGCAGGTTTGTTTGCGTAACTGTATAGCCGAGCGCCGTTTTCGCAACCGCTTTCATCTTAAAAAATCGAACCACTTTTTATTATAATTAGTTAACCGTTATAACTCTCCATAACCCTTCTGCAAAGATTATATAAAAAAAAGTTAAAATTATCCCACTTTAATGGCCAATTGACACTTCTCTCCTCTTTGATGTTTACAACGTAGCCTTTCCTATTTCTTCCTTCTAATAAAATAATGTTGTAATATTTATTTAAATTAGCTAATTTCGGATTTGATTTTTAAAACTAGTTTACAAATAATATCACGTTTGGATGATTTTTTGTCAAATATAAATTACACGTGTAAAAATATTAACTCAAAAAGCTCAAGAATAATATGTGGAACTGTAAGCAACGGGAGTGGTCGAATAATTTTCACGATGATATCAAATTTTATTTCACTTTTTTTATCTTGGTTAACATTTTATGCTTAATTTACATAAATATTTCTCATTTTTACAAACATATTGGCATAAAACATAAATAAAACAAATAGCATATATATGTTGTTTATATTATAACATAGCATATAAAAGCCCTTTTTTTCTAGTTTCCTTTTTATAGAAATTACAGCTTTTTAATGTGTTGGTTAAAACGGCGCTAAACGATACAGTTCCGCATGGCAAGTTTGCTTTGCGTGACTGTATAGTCGAGCACCGTTTTTGTAACTGCTTTCATCATAAAAAATCTAACCACTTTTTTTATGATTAGTTAATTCTTTTAATTGTCCATAACTCTTGTGCAAAGATTATATTAAAAAAGTTAAAATTTCCTCACTTTAATGGCCAATTGACACCTCTCCTCTTTGATGTCTACAACGTAGCCTTTTCTATTTCTTTCTTCTAATAATATAATATTGTAATATTTATATAAATTAGATAATTTCGGATTGGATTTTTCCAAACTAGTTTACAAATAACATCACGTTTGGGTGATGTTTTTGTCAAACATAAATTACACATGTAAAATTATTAACTCAAAAAGCTCATGATCGATCATTTTTGAAAACCTGATCTGTTAATTATATGACGCTACAAAAACTTCTAAGCGCCTAAGGTTTCTTATTAAAAAATTTGTAAAAAAATTTGCTGAGTTGCAGAAAGTAATATTTTAATCTTTTACACAATTGTAACAACGATTGCCATTTTTAAAGGAGTCAATCTGAAACGATTTAATGGCGAAATCACATTTTTACCCATTGGTTTTCATTGTTATTTAATGCAAAAAAACATATATTTCAAGAGAATTTGCCATATTATTGAACTGAAAACCTTTCGAATTTCTAGAAATTAGCATAAGTGAGTAATAAATGTTTAATGCATTGCTAATATCAGTAATAAACGAACAGAAGCTGCTACCGACTTTCATTTTCAGACTCTTTTAAATAGAGATAATAGTTCACAAAATTATTACTTTTATATTGCTATCTGTTTTTTTTTTTTTTTTTTTTTAATAATAAGTTAATAACTCGGAATCTATTTTTACTATAGAACTAAGACAATCACAAAACTTTACAAATACTACTTGATTTTATCTATCAATTTAACGATTAATTTTGAGCCCAATCGCCACCTCTAGCTACTGGGAAGTTTAGATTATACAAAAAATGCGAAAATTTTTTATATTTAATAGCCAATTGACACAACCTCTCTCTGGCGTCTATACCGTAGACTTTCCAATTTCTTACATTTATTAACATAATAGTTTCTCAATATTTAAATATTTAAAACGTATTTTGCAAACTAATTTTAGATATGATTTTTCAAAACTATATTTTAAAAAACATCTTTGGACGAAGTTTTCGGCAATTCTAAATGTCATGTGTCAAGTTGTTGACTCCAAAAGCCCAAGCATATGATGCGAAACTTGTAAGTGATGGGAGTAGACGACAAGTTAAACTGTTTAACAGACCCGTTTTATAGAGTCAGCTATAATAGCAAAGCCTGTTGATCAGTAGTGATCAAACATCAAACGGGCCGCCCTTTCAACCGGGACGGCACGTTCTATCAAACCAGACACGGTCGTTTCTGATCGATCATGGTCAAAACTCCGCACGAATCCCTTCAGAACCAGTCCGACAAATATTCACCCCAATTATGTTCGATGATGTAAATTTCATCT